AGGCCTACACCATCTACCGACCTGACGAGGGCTACTGCCAGGCCCAGGCCCCCGTGGCCGCAGTGCTGCTCATGCACATGCCCGCGGAGGTCAGCATAGACCGGGCTTAGCTGGGGAGGGCCTGGGGGGGAGCGTGGCCCCCCGTGGTGATGGGGAAGCTCTCTTCTCCCATTTCTCAGGCCACACCTCTCTCTTCTTGTCCTTCTCAGCAAGCCTTTTGGTGCCTGGTGCAGATCTGTGACAAGTACCTCCCTGGTTACTACAGTGCAGGGCTGGTGAGTAACTGTGGGCAGGGTGTACCTGGGGCTGTGACTTTTCCCCAAGTGTGTGGGGAGCTCATTGTCACCTTGTGCTGTGCCCCCTTCGTTCCCTGGCCTTTGGGCCTTCCGCACTGAGGCGAGGATCCCCTCCCAGGGCCACAGCAGGTCTTGCCTCACGGCTTGTCCCATCTCCAGGAGGCCATTCAGTTGGATGGAGAAATCTTTTTTGCACTGCTGCGCCGGGCCTCCCCCCTGGCACATCGGCATCTGCGGCGCCAGCGGATCGACCCCGTGCTCTACATGACAGAGTGGTTCATGTGCATCTTCGCCCGCACCCTGCCTTGGGCCTCAGTGCTGCGCGTCTGGGACATGTTCTTCTGTGAAGGTACTTCTGTAGCCATTCAGGCTGGGGGGGCATGGGGGTTTCTATGAAGGCTGCAGAGGGCGGCCTACTTACAGCAAGTATTTGATGGGTTTCACTGGAAGCCTGTGGGCTTGAGAAACAAAGACCTTGGCTTTAGCTGTCCCCACTCAAGCACCTTCTCTAACCCCCAGGGACCTGAAACTCCTCCTTCCTTCACTAAGAAAAACTTTTTTTTTTTACTTTTGGGGTCACACCTGGCGATGCACAGGGGTTACTCCTGGCTCTGCACTCAGGAATCACTCCTGGCGGTGCTCAGGGGACCATATGGGATGCTGGGAATCGAACCCAGGTTGGCCGCGTGCAAGGCAAACGCCCTACCCGCTGTGCTATCGCTCCAGCCCTCCTTTCTTAGATATTTATTTTGTGCTTTTGGTCTCCCAAGTAGTGCTTCCCAACTGTTCAGGCCAAATGGGTCAATACTTGGGCCTGGGGATATAATGCTGCTGGGATTCAACAGTACTGGGGACCACCTAGAATGGGGGTGGTACCTGGGGTTAAACTCAGGGCTTCATGCATACCAAGCATATGCTTCAACCCTTGGAGCTATCTTCCTGGCCTCCTCATTTCTTTCCTTAAAAAAACAACAACAAAAAATACTATTGTTTTGGGGACCACAGCCAGCAGTGCTCAGGGACTATGCCTGGCCCTGCTCAGGAGTCATTCCCAGCCAGTGCTTGGGGGACAGTGCAGTCCTGGGGATTAAACCTGGGGCTCCTGGGGCTGGAGCAATAGTTCAGTGGGGAGGACACTTGCCTCGCATGCATCTGACCTGGGGTTCCATCCCTGACATTCTGTACGGTCCCTCGAGCCTGCTAGGTGTGCCCCAGACCAGATGCACTCAGCCCTTTAAGCTGTCTCTCTGTCACTCTTTTCTCTTCTTAAGGCGTTAGTAGCTGGGTGGGGCTGCTGCATCCCTTCGGAATGGAACAGGCTGAGATCCCAGGCCTGATTTCTCAAGGCTTCTTTTCTCTGGCCCTGCAGGCGTGAAGATCATCTTCCGGGTTGCCCTGGTACTGCTGCGGCACACGCTGGGCTCCGTGGATAAGCTGCGCTCCTGCCAAGGCATGTACGAGACCATGGAGCAGTTGCGCAATCTCCCCCAGCAGTGTATGCAGGAAGACTTCCTGGTGCACGAGGTATGTCGTAGCCTTAGCACACCTTACATCTGCCTCAGCCCATTGTTTCACATGCCAGATAGCGCCATTTCTTCTCTCACTAGGTGACCAACCTTCCAGTAACAGAAGCACTGATTGAGCGAGAGAATGCAGCCCAGCTCAAGAAGTGGCGGGAAACCCGGGGAGAGCTACAGTATCGGCCATCAAGGCGACTGCACGGCTCTCGGGCCATCCATGAGGAGCGCCGGCGGCAGCAGCCACCCCTGGGCCCCTCCTCCAGCCTCCTCAGCCTCCCAGGCCTCAAGAGTCGAGGCTCCCGAGCAGCTGGGGGGGCGCCCTCTCCACCCCCTCCTGCCCGAAGGGCCAGTGCTGGGCCTGCCCCAGGGCCTGTGGTCACTGCAGAGGGACTGCGTCCATCCCTTCCTTCACCTACTGGCAACAGCACCCCTCTGGGCTCCAGCAAGGAAATGCGGAAGCTGGAGAAGGAGCGGCAGAAACAGGAAAAAGAACGGGAGAAGGAGCGGCAGAAACAGGAGAAGGAGCGGGAGAAACAGGAGAAGGAGCGGCAGAAGTGGGAAAAAGAGCAGGAGAAGGAACAGCAAAAGCTGGAGAAGGAGCGGCAGAAGCAGGAGAAAAAGGCCCAAGGCAGGAAGCTGTCACTGCGTCGGAAGGCAGACGGGCCCCCAGCACCCACAGAGGGCGGGGACAGGGCCTCAGCATCTGAGACCCGCCAGGATGCTTACTTCTGACCTGCGCTGGGGCTGGACTGCATGGCCCTCCTCCTTTCCCTCGGCCAAGGAGCAGGCCTGGCCAGGGTGCTGTCCCCAGCCCCCTCAGCAGGCTGTCCCTTTCTGAAGAAAGCGGCTTGACTTCCATCTCCTCGCCAGCCAGGACAGTCGGAGTGCACGGGGCAGTGGGAACAACAGCAGGAGTCTCGCTCCTGTCCCAGTTCCCATGGGGTCCCTGCCCAGGTACTGTCCTGGTTGGCCTTCTGTCACCGTAGTGGTGATGTGGCCCTGGCAGTCAGCGTTTTTCAGATTCTCACACTCCAGTCGCCCCCTTCCCCGTGAAGCAGACGTTGCTGGGTTCCTTTTTCTCTTCAGTCCTGCCTGTCTGCCTCCCTCCTGGCTGGGAGCCAGGTTCTCCTCACTCTGCTTCGGGCCATCTCTGTGTTGTAATTATGTACAGAGGACCTGCTTGGCCCCAGGGCGGGGCGGGGGTGGGGGGCTCTAACTTCTGTCCTCTGGTTCTCCTTCCACAGTGTTCTTACCTAGTTTATTTAAGGGGACATGCACTGGAACAAGGACTGTCCCCCTCTTCCCTACACACCAACCTCGCTCTTCCTATCCGCGCACCTTCCTCTGTATTCTCAGGCTTCTGCTTTGTCTCACCAGCAACCCCACCTTTCACCTGTCCCTAGCAGCCCTCCTCCAGCCCCTCTCTGGGCCAGGGGTCGTCCCTTGAGCTATAGGGGTGGAACCCAATGTTTACATTCTCTTCTGTCTCTGCTCCCACCCCATGCGGCGCTTTGAGGAACCAGAACCAGAACCGGAAAAAAACCTGCTGTTATACCTGGGCATGTCTCCGGCCTTGTTATTTGATGAGCGGGTTAGGATAATGACTGGGGAGGGAAGCAGGGATGAAGCCACGTTCTGGGCCTCTAAGGAAGCAGTCCGCTGCTCTTGGCAGGAAGGACCCTCTTGGCCTTGGGTCCATCTCTCAGTCATCTCTCAGCTGAGCTCCTGCGGAGTGGCCGCCTCCAAGGTCATTAGCCTCGTGGAGCCCCCCACGGACCGTCTGGAGGACCCGGATCTCCTTCCCAAAGCGCTCGTGCAATTCCCGGAAGCTAGAGGGCGGATTGAGGGTGGCGAGGAAGTCCTGGTGCTCTGGGGGTGAGCCGGGCTCGTGGCCAGCCGCCTGGCACAGCTCCCGGTACTGGGCCTCGAGTGGGGGTAAGAGCACGGCGAGCCGCCTCCAGCTCACCCTGGCCAGCGCCCCCAGCCAGGCCCCCAGCTCCTGCTGGCTCTCTGCAGCCAGTTTGTAGGCCCGCCCGCCCTCGGTGCCGTCCCCCCCGGGGGTGACGATGGTGAAGGCGTAGGGTTCGGTGGCCCCCAGGCGGGGCGCCACCTGGCAGTTCTCCAACAGGATGAGGCCCAGGGGTGTGCGGTCAGCCCGGTGCTCCAGATAGAAGAGGAGGTTCCCCCGCAGGATGAACCAGCGGCGCTGGTAGCTGGTGTTGCGGGCGCCCTTCTTGAGCAGGATGCCCTCCTGGTCGGGCGCTTGCGCTCGGTACCCGCGGAAGAACCCCAGCACGGGCTTGCGGTGCAGTTTCATGGCGGTCGGGGCTCGGAGGGCGCCTGCGGGCAGGAGAAGGGCCTGGCAGTCGGGGCTCCGGTGCTGCCCGCCGCGGGCCGGCGGGATCCAGGCCCGCGTGTCCTCGGCCGGGTGTCCGGTGCCCAGAGCCCCGAGCCCCACTCTCCCGCTCCCAGCTTCTGCCAGGCCCAGTGGGCCAGATCACAGCCTGGGGGCCGCCTCTTCTCCGTGCGGCGGCAGAGTGGACGCTGCTGCCTTTCCCTAGGCCTACCTGGGGTCAGGGCACAAGGGGCTTCGGGCCTGGGTACTAGGCCCAGGTGCCACTCCCTGGCGGTGGCTCTTCTACCTCAGGAATCAGGAACTTGCCCTGGGGATAGGCCCGGGGTAAGTCACCTCCCCTGGGTCCTAAAGGCAGCTGGGTTCGGGCAGCGGCCCGAAGGGCGGTCGGAGCCCCCGGTGGCCATCCCCGAGCCACTCTCTGCGGCCAGTAGGCAGACGCTGGGTGCGAGGAAGGGTTTCTACTGAGATAGATGGCGGGGCGCACAGGCCGAGGCCCAGGGGGCAACGGCGACTCAAGCCTGCAACGGGAAACCAGGGCAGGAATCCGCGAGCTCGGCTCGAACTGACATCGTGGGGGCTGGAGGTACAAACGCCCCACGCTCGCCCACTCTCCTGCAGTACGAGGGAACGGAAACCACTTTCTGCCATCCCTCGACTGACCGGGGCGGAGGCGCTCGAACATCCCTCTGGCAGCCGTTGTCTCCCCGCGCGGTGACGTCACTGCGGGGGGGGGTGGGCTGCGCCACCCGTCCCTACTTCCGCCCGCTCTTCGTACCGGGCCTCCAGCCCCAGTGAAGCCACTTCCGGCCTTCCGGGCGCCCGCCACAATCCTCTTCCGGGTGCAGGCGGCCCGGTGCCCCGGATGTGCCTCTGCCGAAAGCATCTTTGCTTCCCCGCCTCCCCTGGACCCCCAGGTGAGCACGCGCCAGGGGCACTTCTCGGGTCTTTGTGGCTCGGTCACCTCTCCGATGTGTACACATGCCCCGAACCAGTTGGGGTGCGGGCCTCCCCGCGGGGCCGGGAGTGCGGCGGGAGTGAAGCGGGCGACCTGGGTGCCAGGTCGAGTCCACCCGGGCCTTGCGGGCTTTGAGGTAGTTTGGCGTGAAGGAGCGGGTGTCCCCGCGTTGAGGGTCGCCACGTGAAGGAACACTGAGCGCGGAGGGACCCGGGGGAGGTCGTCCGCGAGCTCACCTTCGGATGCCGAACCCAGGGGCCCTCCTTGGCCGCCCACTCTCTCCCCCGCCCCCTCTTCCTTTCCTCCCTTTCGTCCTCTCCGCCCCGATTCTGAGCCTCTTCCCTCCCACGCCGGATCCTGCACGAACAGGGGAAAATTTCGTTGTGCCTTCTCTTCTCTCGCCGAGCATGAGTGTCATCCCCCAGTTTGCAATTCCCTAAATCGACTCCATTTCCCTTGGCCCAGTCGGGAAGGCCTTTATCCAGTCATGCCAAAGAGGAAAGTGACTTTCCAAGGCGTGGGAGATGAGGACGAGGATGAGATCAGTGTGCCCAAGAAGAAGGTGAGGGGGCCTTGCAGGATTAAAGGGACAAGTGGAAAGATAGAAGCCAGAGGGGTGAGAGAATTGAGGGCTGGGATGGCCAAGGAGGGAGGGGGTCTCAGGATTAGCTTTGCCAAGGTCTTTGACAAGTGCACTTGAAAGATTTTCTGTTTGCGTCCAGATCTAGAAATTGGGGAGGGGGTGGGGGATTGTCTGGTAACCACATCTCAGTTTGCTGGTTCCTGTTCACAGCTGGTAGACACCATGGCTCCTGTCGGGGGCCCTGGGAGCCGCTTCAAAGGCAAACACTCTTTGGACAGTGATGAGGAGGACGATGATGAAGAGGGGTCCAGCAAATATGACATCCTGGCCTCAGAGGATGTGGAAGGTGAGTAGGTCCCTCACTGTTGGCACAGACGGTGGCTGTTGGGGGTTCCTGCAGGGGCCGGGCTGTGCCTTCTGCTCGAGTGATATGAGGCTCGGGTGTCTTCGATGCAGGTCAGGAAGCAGCCACACTGCCCAGTGAGGGAGGGGTGCGGATCACACCCTTCAACCTGCAGGAGGAGATGGAGGAGGGACACTTTGATGCCGATGGCAACTACTTCCTGAACCGGGATGCTCAGATCCGAGATAGCTGGCTGGACAACATCGACTGGGTGTGGCTTGGGGTGGGCTGTTGGCGCCCGGCTGTGGTGTGGGGGCTGTGGTCCACGTGTGGGAAATTAACCCGTTTCCACATTCCAGGTGAAGATCAAGGAGCGGCCCCCGGATCAGAAGCCCCCATCAGAAGACTCTGAGGACGAGGAGAACTCGGGCCAGACCCCACTGAGCGCCCAGGCCCTGTTGGAGGGTCTCCTGGAGCTGCTGTTGCCGAGAGAGACAGTGGCCGGAGCACTGAGACGGCTGGGGGCCCGGGGAGGATGTAAACAGGGTGGCAAGGGGCCAGCGCGGCCCAGCTCCCCGCAACGCCTGGACCGACTTTCTGGGTTGGCGGACCAAATGGTGGCCCGGGGCAACCTTGGCGTGTATCAGGAGACAAGGGAACGGCTGGCCATGCGGCTGAAGGGTTTGGGGAGTCGAACCCAGGGAACCCCTGACCCCACCCCTCCTCCCTCTCTGGATATGTTTGCTGAGGAAGTGACAGAGGGGGAGCTGGAGACGCCCACCCCAGTCCCAAGAGGAGGTAAGCCAGAAGGGCAGCAGATGGGTGCAGCTGTGGGCGGGGGCAGGGCACCTGAGACCGGTGGTCGCAACTCTTATTTCAGAAGCAGAGTCTTCCGGCGATGGTCTCCCCGACGTGATGTGGGAGTATAAATGGGAGAACACGGGGGATGCTGAGCTGTACGGGCCCTTCACCAGCACCCAGATGCAGGTAAGTCCCGTTCTCTGCTTCTTCCGCGCCCCCCCCCCCCCCCCCCCACTTTCCGCAATCAGGGGTCTCCTAGCTCTGTCCTCTCTCCCCACAGACCTGGGTGAATGAAGGCTACTTTCCAGACGGTGTTTATTGCCGGAAGCTCGACCCTCCTGGTGGACAGTTTTACAACTCCAAACGTATTGACTTTGACCTCTACACCTGAGCCCGCTAGCGGCCACTTCTTTCCTGGACTGTGCCATGCAGACATTGGAGGCCACTTTTGCGTTTCCCTTTCCCAATAAAAGCCTTTAGTTGTGTATTAGGGCCTTGGCTGTGGTGATGGCCGGAAGCCAGGGACCTTCATCACAGCCCCTTTGGACTCACGGTGGTCCATTTAATTTTGGGGGAGAGCTCTGGGATGGTGATGGGGGCTGCTTCCAGTCTCGGCATCTAAGTGATGCCAGGGATGGAACCTCCCCAAAGCAGAGCATGTGCTTTGATTATCTCTCTGGCCCTTCGCCGTGGTCCTTGAGTTTTTAGTCCCTTGGACGCTTCCCCTTTGCTTCTCACTCCTGGATCAGCCAGGGCCTGTTGGGGTCTTGTGGCCTCCCCACCTGGACTTCCTTCAACATCTCCAAATCCTGTCCACCATCCAGCATCCCCTGAGGCTGAATTTTTTTGGGGGGGGTAAGGGGGTGGAGCAAGACAGTTAACTACGGGCTTCTCCAGAGTGAGACAGGCGAGTCAGGAAACACAGGCAAGCAAGATGTGTGTTTGAGGGAAAGCATGGGCTTGAAGAGCACACCGAGGTTGATTTTGTTTTAACTGGGCTTTTGGACTTGGCTGCTAGAGGACAGCTCTCCGAGTGTAGATTTCAGGTCCAGAAGGCCGAGTAGAGTCCGGGACTTCCTGGTTCCGCACTAGCTCCAGGTGAAGTGCACAGTCAGTGTTGGCCGTTAAAGGCCCCTTAGGCCCCATGGGCCAACCATCACAGTTTGCAGAGAGGCCCTCAGCGTTCTGTGCACTCTTGTGGAATCGTGGCCAACGACTGCCTTCCCAGGCCTTTGCTGAGGCCCTGCAGCCTAGATGGACCCCCAAGAGCCGTGGCAACAGCTGGAACTTAGCTGGGCCCACATGGTCGGGGAGGAGACCGCTCTCTTCCTACATTAGGACCCCAGGACTTCGACCTCCCACCCCTTCTGCCTTTGAATTCGAGATTCTTCACTCAAATCAAGTTACACTGATTTCTGTCTTGACCACAATAATCTCTTCGGAAGCTGTGAAATCACTCCTCCAAAATTGTGAATTGCCAAGTGGGAGCCTGACTTGAGCTTTCATTTTATTTAATTTCTAGTTGTTTGGGGCCTAGAACTGCCTGAGCTCGGGGCTTAGTCCTGACTGTGAACCCAGAGATCACACCTGTTGGTGTAAGGAGGGGACCATACGGGATGCTGGGACTGGAACCCACGTCAGCTGTGTGTAAGCAGGGGCACTATTGCTCTGGCCCCTTGTTTCTCACTTGGAGCTTTTAAAATCCCCCAGCTGTTTCCAGTGGCCTGGTTGGTGTGACTGAGCCACTGGCCTGGTTGGTGTGACTGGAGTTTTCCCTGGGGGGGAGAGGCCAGCAGCTGAGCATTCACTGGGGCAGGCAAGGGCCTCTAGAAATAGTCAAGAGTCAAGCTAGGAGCTAGGAAAAGCAGGACTGTGGCGGGTGGGGACTCTCAGGTGAGGTGTCGTGAGACTTCCAAACTTAGGTGGTTCTAGTAGGACTGGTTTTTTTTTTCTCCAGGGATTGCTACTGGCTCTGCACTCAGGAATTACTCCTGGCAATGCTTGGGGGACAATATGGGATGCCAGGGATTGGAACTCAGGTTGGCCGCGGCGTGTGCAAGGCAAACGCCCTACGCGCTGTACTATCTCTCTGGCCCATGAGTTGGGTTTTTTTTGTTTGTTTTGCTTTGGTTTTTGGGTCACACCCGATAGTGCTCAGGGGTTACTCCTGGCAGTGCTCTCGGGACCATATGGAATGCCGGGGGTTCTTGGGTTGACACGGCAAACGCCCTACCTGTAGTACTATCACTTCGGCCCCTATGACTGTGTTATTGATGGCAAAATGCCTTTGGTGCTAAGTTGCCTTTATGTGTCACTGAGAAAGGGAACGCCAAGAGACCAGGGATGTGACTCAGAGGTTGAGTACATTGCACGGGCACATTCGAGGTCTTGGGTCCAGTTCCTGGCACCACAACAGCCCTGCTTCTTACAGCGTGAGGGGGCACTGTTGCATGGCTGCACCCTGGCTTCAGAAATGTCGAGCACTGAGAAGCTGCTAACAGGGCCAGCACTGATGCCCAGATCTCAGCCTCAGAGCCTGTTAGTTATTACCCTGCACGGCAAAGGGGACTTTGCAGATGTGAAAGGGTTTCTGGGGATTCCCTAGGTGATTGAGGGTGACAGTGTAGTCACAGTGCCCTGGGGAGTGCTATGGTGCCAGCTGCTGGGCTGGGAGACAGAACCATGTGTTCAGGAAAGAGGTGGCTTGGGAAAGTCCAGAATGCGAACTGCCCTGAAACTCCACAGTAAGCCCTTTTGGACTTCTGACCTCTAAAACTAAGATAATAAAAACTGTGTTGAGTCACCAAGTTGATGATCTTTTGTTATAGCCTCAATTGAAAACTAGCACCTGATCCAAATGCCTGGTGCTCTTCAGAGCAACAGTGACTCATGTTCTCGGTGGCCACGACCTTATTTTGTGCCCCTTGCCTTAAAATTTTGCAGGGTGTGGGTTGGAGAGGTGGTGCAGCAGGTAGGGTGGTTACCTTGCATGTGGGTGACCAAGGTTTGATATCTGGCACTACGTTTGGTTCCCCGTCTCTGCCAGGAGCCCTGAAAACAGGAGGAAACCCTGAGCACTGTAGGTGACCCATCGCCCACTCCCCAAATGAATGCATGTTATAAATTTTCATGTTACTAACTTTACATATATATGTGTATATATATATATATATATATATATATATATTGGGGGGGTGGGGAGACCCATGCTCACAGTGCTTAGGGCTTGATCCTGGCTCTGAGCTCAGGGATCACTCCTGGCAGGGCTCAGAAAACCATATGGGGTTTCTGGAATTGTACCCAGGTCAGCTGTTTGCGAGGCAAGTATCCTACCTGCTGTACTATCTCTCTAGCCCCTAAACTTGATATACTTTGTGATATACTGAATATATATAAAAGTAGAACAGAGTTCACCGAGTTACCCAGTTGGGAGCACCTTTCAGTAGGACGTTGGTCACAGATACCTGAAATGAGCCTTGGGGACTGGTTCAGGTGTTTTGTAAGCAGCCAACCACAGTTCACTGCCTGGCACCGCATGTGGTTCCTGAGCATCACCAGGAGTGATCCTTGAGCTCAGAGCCAGGAAAGCCCTGAGCACTACAGGGCGTGCCCCAAAAACAAAAACATGACAAAACAGCTCGATGGAAAGATAATCCACTGGTATAAAGGGTAGAATTTAATGGTTTTGTTTGTTTGTCTTATTTTTTACTATAGTCATAGGTTGTACAACCAAAATACTACATACTATGATCTACTGTTTTTGTTTTGGGGCCATACCCATTAGTGCTTCGGGTTTACTTTTGGCAGGCTCTGGGGACCGTATGGGGTGCCAAGGATCTAACCCAGGTTGGCTGAGTGCATGGCAAGTGCTTTCCCCATTCTGGCCATCGCGATCTACTTTTGGAACGTTTTGTCTACCCTAACATGTCCCCCCCCCCCCCCCCCATAGTCGCTCTTTCCCTCATTTCTCCCCAGTCCCTACCTGGCACCACTAATCCACTTCCTGTCTCTTAATAGCTTATAATCCTTATAGAGAATTTTATGCAACTATTTGCATAAATTCAATTCTGTGTCTTATGTGGCAGCTTCTTCCACTCAGCATGGTTTCAGGATTTATTTTGTGCATGTTTGATTTGGGAGCCACAACCTGCAGTGCTCGGTGGCTGTTCCTGGCAGGAATGAACCCAGACGGTGCTTGTAGTCCTGGACATTTGATCTGGGAATGACTGCATGCAGGGCAAGCATCTTACTCCTGGACTATCTTATCTTTGGCTTTTGGTTTCAAGATTTACCCATGTGGTATTTAATAGTGTTGTATTGTTTTCTTGCTAAGTGATAGTTAATTTACCATGTATGTTATACATATATCTTCAATGTTGAATATTTCAATATTCCATGGTGTTATTAATCTTGACTAGATACAACTTTTTTTTTTTTTTTTTTTGCTTTTTGGGTCATACCCGGCAATGCACAGGGGTTACTTCTGGCTCTGCACTCAGGAATTACCCATGGCGGTGCTCAGGGGACCATATGGGATGCTGGGAACTGAACCCGGGTCGGCCGCGTGCAAGACAAGTGCCCTACCCGCTGTGCTATTGTTCCAGCCCACAACTTTTTTTTTTCCACGTGCAAGGCAGATGCTGCATTAGCTCTGTTGCATTAGCTCTCCGGCCTTGGTTAGATATTTTGTGAAATATCTCACAAATTTATGTGAGATATTCTCATGATTAGATTTGGGTTATGGGTTTGGCAGAAGAAAGACCACAAAGGTGAAATCCCTTATCATTTATTGAAAAGCTTTAATGAGTCCCCATTATCCTGAAGATAAGGTTCAAAAGCTTGAAGCTGGGCTGAATTGATAGTACAGCGGGTAGGGCATTTGCCTTGCGCGCGGCTAACCCAGGTTCGATTCCCAACATCCCATATGGTCCCCTGAGCACCTCCAGGAGTGATTCCTGAGTGCCGAGCCGGTGTGACCCAAAAAGCAAATAAAATAAAATAAAAAAGCTTGAAGCTGGGCTGGAGAGGTGCGAGGGGTAAGGATAGGCGCTTGGCTTGCGTAAGGCTGAGTCTGGTTTGATTTCCCACACCCATATGTGGTTCCCCTGAGCACCACCAGGAGTGGTCCCTGAGCACAGAGCCAGGAATAAGTGCTGAGCATCACCAGGTGTGACCCAGCAAAACTGCTTGAAGCTCTCAGAGGTCTTCCCGAGACTCCCTGGAGCCTGCTGCCTCAGCCCCACCTCTGCCTGTGATTTCTTCCTTTTTTCCTCCCTATACCAGCCTCCCACCTGCTTGCAGAACAGGGCAGATCATTTTGTTTTTGTAAGCCTGGCCACAGCTGCTTTTCTTTCTTTTTGTTCCAAGGGTCGCATGTGGTGGTGCTCAGGGCTTACTCCTGGCTCTGCACTTGGGGCTCATTCCTGGTAGGCTTGGGATTATACATGGTGCCAGCGATTGAACCTGGTCCATCCGCGTGCAAGGCAAACACC